AAAAAAAAAATTTTTTTTTTTTTTTTTTTTTTTTTTTTTTAACGGAATTATCTCACACGTGAAACTTATAATTTCGTATATGTGGGTTACATGTGTTACCTATTTATTTGATTCCAGGAATCGACCCAGTACTTTCTATCTTAATTCACGAGCAACCGTTGCTCCTTTTAACGAATACAAATCATTTTATAAATAGTGCTTGACAAGAAATACAAATATTTATTCAGCATAATAGGACTGGTTAGAAATTATTGAATGCCTCGGTTCGAGATTGGTGGATCGGTAATACGTGCGCTTGAGACAGAAGTAATTTGTAATTAATGTAACTCGGGTCAAAGGTCGAGTATCCACTGTGAACTTTAGCAGTTTCTTTTCTCTTGGTATGTGAATATATCAGTGAAAACTTTCGGCGTTATCGGAAACATAGTGCAAACAGATTACACGTGTCGTTAAAAATAGAGGAATCAACTGTCTATACATATTCTGCAAATAAATAATAATCTTATCGAATAACTGTCTTAATATTGACGGGTCAATCAGTCATCTGGTAATGCGGAAGTAAGCATGTACGTATACAGTCGTACACATGTGTGACATACGTCATAATATGAAATAAAATCATACGAGTATTTTTTTCAATGGCAACTGACGTTGGCAGAGGTAGCTTGAAAATTTAAGGAAACTGCTACTTAGTGGAAAAGAAAAAAAAAAACGAAAATTCGAAACATCCGATTTTATCTGACCTTGACCGACTTGCCAGAAGGTATGAACATTATGTAGATCTTCAATGAATTAACAAAAAAAAGGTACCGGAAAGACGTTTATTGGTTTGCCCAAAAAAATTCGTAGCATTACGATTGCTTGGGCTTCGAATGTATTTAATTTCATATCAGCTGGATCTCGATCTAAGGTATCTAAGGTATCGAAAGCGTTTCAAGGTATCAGGGTTCGGTGATGTAGTATCGTTAAAAATACATGAAATGGAAATCTGTGTTTCAGGGAAAACTCGAGCAGCCTTCACCCAAATCGATTATACATGCGTTGCGCAAAATTTCCACGGTTTCTAACATCATTAAACGAAAGTCGATGCCAGAGTTTTCAAAATACAATATAATTTTTTCAACATAGACAAACTTTCCATTCCTTAAATGAGCTTTTACGAAATCGATAAGTTACCATGATCGTTATATTAATATAAAAAATTTCATTAGTCTCATCAATCCGTAACTAATGACGAACACAGATACAAAATACTATAACGTAATCGTCCGATACGTAAAATAATAAACCTTCAAAGAAATGTCAAACGGCAGCTTTACGTGAAAGCAGCTGCGAGATGCGATTCCGAGTAAAAGCCCGAAAGCCTGGCTGCCAGAAGGACAATTATGTCCTCTAAGCGCGGGACGCGCGGTGCCAGTGCGCGAGGTGCGACGAAGCTGGCAAAGTTCCCACCGTTAAACTCCCCCCGCATGATGCACGTGTTCCGCTCCCGTGATTCGTGAATTGTGACTTGGGCGCGGCGACGCTCGTGACGCTCCTGACGCTCCTGACGAGTAATTTTAGACAAGATAGAAATAATTTTCCACGACACGACGCTCGGCTGACAAGTCGCACGCGTCGCGCGATCAATTTTCGCCGAACGTCATTCCTCTGCAGTTTACCCGGAAATTCGCATTGGCTCGTCCGACAACAAAAAAATGGCAAAATAATGGATCCGGCAGTGCCGCTAAAAAATTCCATCGAGTATCATATCGCGGCAGTGACGTTCGAATCGAATTTAAAGAAAATTCCTGACCGGTTGCGCGTCCCTTTGGACGGCAGCTAAATTGCCTGACTCGACGAAGGAGGACGTCTGCGAATAATGGACGGTCTGTTTGCGTTTAGTCAGCGACGTCAAATAAGCTCCCTTTCCCTTCGTTTCATCAAGTCGACCCGATGGAAACTAGAAGGGCGTGACCTGACGCATTCGAAACGAGTGACCAGACGCGGCGTCGCGACGACCTACGATTACGTTGTCGCTCGGCAATTGCGATCGAATCTTATCGCTCCTCCTGATCAGCTGGCTTTTCAATTGTGAATCCGCCCAAGACATTCATTTACAACGAGCGTCGGCGACGTCGGCGTCCCCTCTGATAAATTTATCGATCCGTTCGCCCAGCTTAAGCTGCCCAATTACCATCATCTTCACGGCTCGACCCATCGCAATTACTTCGATCGATCGATTATAAACGATCGTAAACACGTGGTCGCCCTCCTGTCATAACCGTGCTTATCACACCTTTGACACGTTGTGAGCTAGGTATTATTTCTACGGTCAAACCAGAATCCCTTCGTACGTCCCACGTGGAGTCGCGTCTTTCTTAATTATTCAAATACACGTGCATGCTCACGAGAGACAGCCATTTGTATGGAGATTCGGAAGAAAAAAAATGCCCGGATTATCAGCACCCATTGGATTCTTTGTTTACCTCGAAATTCCCATCGACTAACGAAGCATTCTCCGCAATGGGATAAATCATAAGGGACACTATGTAACGTAAGCTTCGCGTATGAATTCTCCGTAGTACCAGTTACGAGCCAGCACAGCCAGAGGACGGAAAGTCTACAAGGAGCCGAGTAACAAAGAGCATGTTAAACAGGAGAGTTTTCTTTCAAACTTCTTAAAAATGTTCAAGAGTTACGTGTGGCCGACCTACACCACCGCGTCGGGCACGACGCGCAAACTGAATCGAAGTCTTTGTCCGATTCGTGTAGGCGTCCCAGTCGTCTTGTCCCAGGATCTCGAATAGCCCCGCAATCCCATAACGCCCTTGGATTCGTTTTTCCATCCAACGCGGTTACGGAAATTGCTATATCGAATAATGACCCTTGGGCCACTCGTGAGGCTCTCTGCGTTTGAGACGCGATAAAAAAAACGCACTGCGGGGACCCAGAGGGGGCGAAACGGCGAGCGAGGCCGCGCCAAGTCGGATGCCGAGTCCGAGTGCGAGTGAATTATTAAGGCCTGTCTGATACATCGGACATGTTAATACGAGTCATAATGGGCCTTTTGTCGTGGTTCGCTTAACAATGTGTCCATTATTGCTCGTATATTGTCGCAGCAAATATGATCTTATACGGATCTGATACTTGTACCATTGCTGGTACGTATCGTTCCTTGCACCGATATGCTTGCACGTGATTTGGTAAAGGAATTTCGAAAGTTCGTAAAAGTTGTTTACGAGTCTTACAAATTTTTTTAAGTGCTTTTAGAAATTTTTTACATCCAAACGCGAGGACCGTACGAGATATTGGGAAATTGTTAAATTAAATGAAAAAAAAGGAAATTACATCAGGATCTTGAAAACGGGCGGAAGTCAAGTATGCGAGTCATTGATATAAATGAGTATATCCGCTTGATGGGCGGTGGCAGTGATATTCGATTGAATCTCAAAAAAGTGGGCGTTTGCGCTGGATGCCAAAAAAAGGGGCCTCTTGTCTCACGAACAAGACCGAGGGATTACGAGGCGAGCCGCAGCCACAAGTTGAAGGCCGTCGAGACGTCAGTCAAGACGTTACTACGTCATAAGAGACCATTCGGAACACCGAATGCTTTGTTTTCGAATCGAGACCACGGGGGGCCTGGCGAAAATCCCTGCCCAATCTTAAAAGGGCTGTCAAAATTAGGAATTAGTCATAAGAAGACGCGTTGGGTGGTCTGGCAATGGTATAGCCAGTCGACCAGCCTGTCATGCGGCTTACATTACCAAGACGCATGTTTTGGCGAGTTGCAATGGAAAGGGTAGAGGATAATTTTTTTTCCACCTTCTTATCTTACGAACGATCATCGTTACTATCGAATTCTCGATCCTTTCTATTTTCGTCAAATCTAATCAAACGAAACGGACATCTGATTTTACCTCCGGGATATTGTCCTTCCTGAACTACGTGATCTTTTTCACGTAGCACAAAATAACCCATTCTGCGCATGCGCGAGAACTCGGTCAGAGTCACTGATGGATTTGAGGTCGGTTTGGAAACTGTTAGGATCGCAGAATATTGTTACATCGGTATTTCCCGTGGGTCTATCGATGCCTTCCGTTCGTATATCCAGATAAAGGATAAAGGAATCGTCGAGCGGTTTACGTGCTGGACGAAAGTTCTATTTATTTCTTCATTTAGATTGGCATCTTAGTGCCGGGAGATTCTCACGAGGATTTTACTCCTGGGTCATTCTAATCCTTATTCATAGGTGATTGTCAATGTGTGAGAGAGAGAGAGAGAGAGAATGGATATTCGAGTCCCTCGAATAACGATGTATCTTACAATCCAATCCTGGACCACTATTTTTCATGCAATAACTCCCAGCATCCCTATCACGATCTTCGTATACTAACTACATATCGCGTATAAAAAATAAAAATGAACCCTTACCATCGTACATTTGCGCGTACTGTGGAAATCCTGCAGCTCTCAGCCATTTGCAAGCTTCCTGCGCTTCGATTTCTGAAAGCAAAATTAAAGATTTTTATCAATAAAAAATTTCAGTTCGATATACTCCCTATCGCCTGGACCGCTGCTATTCTCGACCTGCTATTCACAGAGAACTCGATACGGACACGTATACCTATACCACGTGCACGTACGCAAAGCAGGAAACGGGATAGAATGAAATTGCATAAAAATCAGTACGAGACACAAGATCTCCGAGAATACGTGATCCCTCGTTGCAAGGGACAATCAGTATTAACGAATAATCCAAAAAATAACGATAGACTCCGTACGCGGTAATTGTAAAAATAAAATCCAGTCAATCTTCCTCCCCCGATCCCAGCCTAGAGGCTCTGGGATTAAAGTGAGAAAGTAAAGAGTGACTCTATCCTGGATCTAGCGTTGGACGTCTCAGTAAGATATTTCGAAGGTTTAGCGTCCTGGGCTACGCTAAATGAACTTATTTAAATAACTCAGCCAAGAGAAAGAGAATAGACGTCGGGACGAACCTTCAGTGAAATCGTATAGCTGGCTCTCGAGTGAATACGTTGCTCGACTATTCCTCTCCTCGTGTTTCTATTTGACTAAGCGCCGTGGTTAGGTTAGGTAAGCCAAGCCGAGGCAAGGTAAGATGGGCGCCGTGGACAGATAGAACACTGGCCTCAGATAATAGCGATTGCTTTGCGGTAGGTCGGGTCCGAGCTGCTGCTTCACTTTGTCCACGTGTGTATAAAAGGCCCACGTAGGTGTGTCACTTCGCGCGGAATAAGCCTCTGACGTTCAAAGTGCGTCCGACGGCTTCCTAAAGGCGATTTCCTCTCTCGTTCTCGAAGCGACGGCCCGATGCATCGTTAGGATGCACCGAACCTAATGCATTTATACATTGGATGCTGCGATAGATCTAGAATCTAGAATTTAGAGTGCGGCTGCTTGGGCGTTGATGAATTTTATAGACGACCCGTGCAGCCGATAATAGTCGTACGGATATTGAAAATAGCCTTGAGTATAATGCCCGTCTATTTGCCACGCGTTTTATTGGGCGGGCAGGTATAGGAAACAATTACGTCTTGTTTCGTATCCGCTGCGACAGGGAAATACGTAAGTTTTATTGCCCTCTGAAATTTTCGGCACTTCAGACGTTCCCGAGTCTTCGGCGACTCAACGGCCGAATGACTTCCGGAACGTAAAAACAATTTTAGCGAGAGACTCGAACAGTCAAACTTATAAGCCTGACCTACTCCAATGGAATGCAAGGAGATCGTCACGTAAGTCTTTACCGAAATAATATTATGACGCAATAAAAGTCCAGTGGGTTTCCTTGCAAATCCATTTTCGAAAATCAACTCGCTCGAATTCCGACTGTACGTTACGAGGTTTGACAATATTTCCTAATGTTTATGGAACAACCAATGTGTCCAAATTAAATGGCGCCGTCGTATCTCACTTGCAGTCGCTGGACGTTGCGTTTACGGGAAGCCTACACTCGGCTCTCCCGTGAGCCATCGAGTTACCTGCGTCTATATATACATTTCTTTTTTTATAATATAAAATGCGATCAAGGCTATCCTTTACCCCGTTACCAATTTAATTGCGTAAACATCTTTCGGTTATAGATAACACCTCGAGGACACGGACCGTTAAAAATACAAACGTTCAATAAGCTTGCACTGGATTCAATCAGAATTTTCTTGATGCGTCAGAGATATTTTTCAATGGTACTGTACTATACGATTCCATCATTTCACGTCTGTATAGCGTCAACGTACTTTGATATGTAGTTCGTTAGGAACAACAATTCTTCGATTTACACTTGTGAAGCAGCCGCATTAAAGAGGCTCGTGGGTTTTAAATTTTCAATAAGTTCTATCACGTGGACACGAAACTACGTAGATTGCTAGTGGATCTGTAGAATGGAGTCTACGCGAGTAAATTTGAATATTAAAATAGTCATAAAAATCGGTCTTCTCGTACTACATATACATATATATGTATACGAAGATTGCCGTCTTCGTCCGCCACATTATGCCTATGCAAATCAAGTAAACACTTAAGTGCTTCAAATTGCGTTCAAAGGCTGCATACAAAGACAAATCTACATACTCAAAATGCTTTCGAAACTCGAGCACGATAACTTTAATTGCCTGAATGTCTTCAGCCCCAATGTCAGTCATTATCATTTGGGGTTGACATTTTGACAAGATTGAAACGAGCGGTGAAAGGGCTCGAGTCTGCGAAATATATGCAGCCGTAGATACGGAGGTACAGGCGTTAGACAAGGAAGCAAGGCTTGGAGGAAGAGGGACAAAGGTAGCAAAGCAGTATCGCAGTACTGGATACTCTCGATAGAGAGATCATTAAGGCGCAATATTCCCGTGGGCGGATTATAATGATATGAAATATCCTTATAAGCGTTAAAAATATCTCGAGTCACGGTCATCCATAATAATGCGTAAGAATTGAAGCCACCCGCTGGGAAAAAATGGCAGACAATAGAAAGGCGGAATGGATTCTATACGTTGGGTGGGCATGCAAGGTAAAGTATTATGCGGAGGAAAAAAAAAATCATTACAAGTTTCGCGAATCGATTCTACGAATGTGTTAACTGATTTTCAGGAGGTAAATTTCATTTTTTTTTTTTTTTTTTTTTTTGATTGGCAACAACGAATTTGACGGCCGTGCAATCGCGTGTATCGCTTGGCGGTATCGCGGTGCTGCGTAATAAAAACTGAAGAAAGACTACAGTTACAGTGCTTGCTCTTATTAGACATATTCCTCGGTGTTGTTCGCTATCGTCACGTGACGAGACTGGAGAATTAAAAAACGTCGGTCTGCCTCACGAAGAAGGGGATGCATTCAGAAGACGCAATTAGCGGACCCCATGTCGAAATACCAGCTCGATCGGTAGATAGGAATTAATGTGCTCGTAGCAGACTTGAAAACTGAAGAATTTCGTGCAGACTACAATTCGTTCGACGTATGATTGTGGAGTCATAATAAAGATTACCCGGGATGCATCAGCGAGAAATATTTAAGACGTTACCCGTTCTGGATTCTCAACGAGCCAATCCATTGGCACACGGATCTGGGAAATTGGACGAGGATTTTACTTTTTTTTTTCTTGGGAACCTCGTTAAAAAAAAATTCGAAAATTCCATATCTGTTAGATAATCGAGTTCCAGGGCAGCATTTAAAATCAAGTTTTTCCACGGCTTGTTCCCAGTGGTGGGCAGACCGAAAACTTTAGAGCTGTCACACCCTCGACACCCTCGACACCCTCGACACGCTGGATATCCTAGACTAGCCCTCCCTCCTTGTCCGACACGACCGCACCCTCTGCCAGCCATCACGACCTGAATTAACTACCCCGACTCTCTCGCTAACGACTCTGGAACGTTTGGGCTGACCGCAGGAGATGCGACGAAATCCATTAGAATTATGCTTGGTTCGAAAATAATTTATTTTCGGTCTCGAGTATCAACATGGGAAAAGATGGGACTTCACCCTTTATTATGATATGAATTTTTGAAAACAATCAGACTTTACGTAAAGCATCTGCCGGCTGCAGGAGATGCTTGACTTCGGCCAATGGGAAATGTAATACCGTGGAGAATGGACGGGACGAGAGTTTTGCGCTCGGTGCACCCTTATCTGCACACTCTTAATTTAACCCTCGAGACAGTTAACATGCGCCGTTAAGTAACTTTATACTTTGCCTAGTCGAGAGGTACGCAGTAGATAGGTATACTGTTACATGAGCACGTGCTAACCTTATGTCTTGAGTCTCTCAGAGAAGCGCATGCGCATACGTTATCTGTATTATAGCTACGCAACTTCAGGTGGGACTTGTTGCTCTTCTTTGAGCTATTTGGATTCTACGTTGCTGGGGTGTGGTAATGAAAAATTTGGAAAAATTGTCAAATCTTGACTACGTCTAAAGAATTTTCAAGGTCGGTGTCCTTGAGAAAAAAAATAATAGGGAAAAAAGTTACGAGTCGATGGTCCCTTAAAAAATGACGTCTCGTGCTGAGAGGTATGGGTGGGTTCGCAAGATTCGAGATAAACGAAATTCCGGGAATTTTTTTTTTTTTTTTTTTTTTTTTTTTTAAATATTCCAATTATCTGACGACCGTTGAAATTGTACACAAATACCGTGGACGTGAAATAGTTAAAATTTTGAAGCAGTCAGGAGGTCGTAACGCTCGAAGAAAGTGAGTGGAAAAGTCTGAAAGACGTTAAATATGTAAAGGCAGTCTGGAAGTCCAGTGACTGAACCAGCATATTTCGAGGATCCCGTCCGGGACCTGTCAGGAGTCACGAGTCACGAGTCACAACGCAGCTTGATACATGACCCTCGAAACACACATATGTAATGTTCGAGTGCGGTTATTTGTCACGCTGGCGAACGTGCACGCTCGAATTGCCCGCAGGACTTCGTAGGAGGCAAAAGCAGAAGGTTTAAGGTAGAAGAAATAAAGAGAAAAAGAAAGGCCGTGGTACATGCTGCGCTAGTGGTGGCTTTACTGGGTTAGGGAAATACTGGAGCACACACGTGTTCGCTTCACAGTGTTGTGTGGTGTTCGGTTACCGAGTCCCACCAAGCACTTTTTCTATTATCCCTAAAGCCTCAACTCGAAATACCCGGTTAACGAGCGAGCTCGAATACGAGGGGAATAGGAGGGAGGACTTTCTCGAGAGCGAGAAGAAGGGTGGCTGCCTGCGGGGAACAACAGGTCGTTGGGAAAATATTGTAGGATTCGAAACTTTAGGTGCCTTGCCATATCAGTGTGGTAGATGAAAAAAACAATAATAGAGACAAGCCTAGACTGCTCATCCTAGGCTTATAGAATCGAATGTCTCGGTGTGCATGCACGTGGATGGATGAATATGAGAGAGATGTACGAGCCAGTAATGGGCACGACGCTGTAAAGATCGGACGAAATAAAAACGGAAACCTCAAAGATACGAGAACAGTGATTTCGCGCCTTACCTATATATACCCATGTAAAAATCCTACA